AAAGGATCTGGGAATACTGCTACCGTAATAAATATGAATGAGTTACTAAGCATTCAATTAATTATTGGTCACGTGCACATGAGGTCATAAGTGTGAAAAAGGGTCATAAATGGTCACCTTTTTCAATGACACTGTAACTTCAGATGGTCACTAAATGAACTGTTGTAAGTTGAGGCCTACCCGTATTTCTGCTTAATTTTACCTTTTCTGCCCACTTGTCCAAAGTCCACCAAATCACTGTAAATCATGCATGTTTCTGAGTAATTAATTAGGGCTGTGCAAAGCAGTTAAAGAACGATGTGTATGAATGTATGCCAAGAATATATATATATTTTTTGTCGAAGCTGCAACACCAGCAAAAGAACTAGCAGCTGTGACTTCATTGTTATTGATATAATTTTATTAAATGAAGTTGCTGCCCGATTCCCAGTGACACTGGACAATTTATACAACCTTAAAATGCTAACAAAAAGACAGTAAAGAGAAGAAAAGGGTAGAAATAGCAGGGTGACAAAACCAGATGGGAATGAAGGAAAACAATGTGGATAATCCAAAAGGTGGCTTCAGTGAATCCCGCCAAAGGCCTGGGTGAATTGCCTATGGAATTTCAAGGCCTATGGAAACACTGGTAGGGAAGTGGATCCTTCAAATCTCATTCCAGAAGACAGGAACACTTACAGAGAAAAGTGCATTTCCAGCAGAATGGGATAATTCATCCCGCCAACTCTCCATGGCCTGCTAACCATGAAGACAACTTTCCACAGGCCACTCGACAAGGGACAATTCACTGCAGGACAAATTAACCATTCCATTTCATGATTTCAAATAAAATTCAAAATTATTTTAATGTTTGTCGTTCACTTTTCATTTCGTCTTTCCTTTTGCATCTTTTTTTAAAAAATTATTCTACTACGCCATTTCTTTGATATTAGTGTCATTCTCGTCCCGTAGCAAGTTGGCTGTGGCGAATTGGCCATGGTGAGATGGCCGCAGAGGATTGTCACGGACCCCACTTCCAGGGTCTGGATAGACACATTCAGAAGAATCCTAACACTACGGAACTGATGTGGCAATGCGATGGAAGCCGAAAGCAATATAAGGATGCCGAATCCTTTACACCTGGTATATATTTAAACACGCAAGCTCCATCTTCCACAGCAGGAGCAGCATGAAATGGTACCATCCAAAGAACGCTTAATGGATATCCTGATTGCATAAATACTATTCTTGGGCTGCCACTAAGGCAGCATGTAAAACTCCAGCAAAAAAAAAAAACAACCATTAAGTTCAACTTGCAATGTTAAATTTGATACGGCTGTGCTTTTAACTTCTGGTTCGATTTAGAAATTACCCTTTAATGTTTGTTTTTTTAAAAACGGTTCAACTTGGTGATATATGTTTGCCTAGCTGTGACAGGTTAGTGTCAGCCTACAGCTGAGAGGCCATAATTCAGATGGACAAATGCCCAAGTTCACAGTTCATTAATGTTCTCTGATCGGTCAAATGGATTATTGCCGAATTAAAGCAGAGGATGAATCAGGCATATTTTATGAGATGTTTTCACCCAAAGATAGAACGGTGAGGACATCTAGTGGCTGCCGCCCTAAAGTTGTGAGGGTTTTCAAAAGCTTAGTGAGAATTCAAACTTTTTTGTTTTTAAGTTTAATTTTATTTCATTGGGCTTACAGGATGCTCCAATCACAAACATACATCCCAACATCCCTTGAATTGGATTCCAAATAATACATAAGAAACAAAGCAATATTGTGCAACTTATCTATCGAAGGATGAGCCATTCTCTGCCTCAAGAACACACACACAAAAACCCTAAACCCTTCCGCTACTAGAAGGGACAAAACCACAGCATTCTAGTCCTCGTGACCCAATGAAATAACTATCTTTTGTTGGACTTCTTAAAAACTAGGATGGAGGGGAAGGTCCCACATCTGAAAAAATAATAATAACTTCTCTGGTTTGAGGCAGTCCCAGACATCCAATGAGGGGGCTTGATGAACAGAAGTGATTTTGTTCTAGGACAAGGGGTGTCAAACTCGATTTCATTGAGGGATGCATCAGCATTGTGTATGACCTCGGGGGGGGGGGGGGGGGGGGGGGGGGCGGGGGGGGGGGGGGGGGTGTGGCCAGGGGTGTGTGTGTGTGTGTGGCCAGCTCAACATCACTCATTTCAGGTGCACCTGTAGTGCCCAGGTGGGGCTGCAGCCCTCTGCCAGCAAAAATGGAGCTCGGGAGAGCCAGCATCGCGGACTGGTCCTTCACTATTTCCAGGGCGGCCTCATGGACCAGACTTAAGCAACCCATGGGCTGGATCTGGCCCGCGAGCCTTGAATTTGACACCCCTGTTTAGGAGAACAGAAGGGTACAGACTAGGCTCTGTTCAGAAACACTACAAGTTTGGCTCCTTGTGCACAAAAAGCTACAAGGATGCAGTGCATTTATCAAGATATAGATGACATTATTTTAAAACAAGTTTCATCTTCAAACAGAGCCACCAACCCAAGAACACCCAACAGAGAGAGAGAGAGGAGAGGGGTTTTCATCAAGATTCTCAAGATGGCTTGACCAAGTGCAATATGCCTTGAACGCCTTCTACAAAATAGGCCAAAAATGCAGTGTCATTTCCTTAATGTATAACCTAAGAATAGGTAATTGTTCGAACTTAACCTATTTTGGGAAACTTTAAAGCAAGGCAGTGATGCAAAAAAGGTTGAGCTAGTTTCTTCTGCATGTTCTCAGGACTGTACCACCATATTACATTACAAAATGAGAGATTTTTCCAATTGTCCAATTTTCAGCAATGCGGATAGTCCTTGACTTATGACTGTAATGAAGCCAGCTGTAAGTCATGAGGCTTATGGGTCACTCATTTGACTGACCTTATTTTACAACCTTTTTTGCAATGGTCATTCTTGATTTATAAAGCCAACGCTTAGGCTGTTAAACAGACCAATGGTTTGCTGTGGGCTACTTTTGCTGAAAACCAGAAACAAATGGCAGGTTTTGGGGGAAAACGTCATAAAACGCAGCGTGTGGCTGCAGGACACTGTGAACTCTGTAAATGTGGGCTGGCTGTTAAAGTGTCTGACACGCAGTCATGTGACTATGGGAGAGAGCAGCCATCGGAACCGAGTCGTAAATGCCTCGGGGAGATCTGACACAACTTCAACCAGTCGCTAAGTGACTCATCATAACTCAAGGACTACCTGTAATTGTCAAAGGAGCTCCCAAAACTCCGAAGACTTGGCCCCAGGAGCTCTACTCTTTTTGTAGAGGATACACCAGGAGTGTCCAGCCTTGGCAATTTTTAGACTCGGCTGGCTGGGGAATTCTGGGAGTTAAAGTCCACAGATCTTACAGCTGCCAAGTTGGACTCCCCTGGCATACACTATTTTCCAAAGCAATTAATTCTGAGTCCTTCTTAAGCAGGGAATTTTGAATAAAAGAAGAAATTGTTTAAAATACAAACGCTCAAAGTTGCAAACCCAAAACACCCCCCCGGAATGCTAAGTAACTGAAAACACTACTAGCAAGAAAGAATTTAATATCAACGTTGTACCCTCTGCCCGTACAACCAAGTGTTGCAATGGAGGAGGGGAAAAAAAAGACTATTCACACCTTGCAACCTCTATAACCTCTGATGCAGACACTCCTGTTCCACCATCAGGAAAAACCACATCTAAGTTTCAAGTAGGGCTTGGAACTTGGAATGATGTGAGTTCTGGAAAGGCTGCAGAGCAGATCGAGCACCACGTTCAGTGGGGTGATTCCTATCTAGTGTGAATTCTGAAGGTTTATCTGGGATTGTCTAATCATTCTGCACTCTCTCCTTGAAAAAAGCACTGATATGTTAAGACAAAGGCTTCCCTAAGCAAAGCCATACTTCATGCTATGTGCAGTCGGGGCTGGGGGACTACAGCACTTTAGACATTATGAATGCAAGGTATGCTGCATTAACTTCCATTAGGGCTGCCTCCTAATTAAACACACCTTTTATTGATTAATTGTATGAGTTTTAATTGACTGTTCAATCACAACTGCATACATTTGCATATGAATGACAGCTCTGAAGAAAACTACTCTCTGGTTCTTGAATAACAAATGTCTTTATGCCACAGCTGGGGCTCTTTCAATATGGAAGCTGTCAAAATTTCCCATGTCTTTTTTTAACATGAAAAAGAATTGGCCCTCTTTGGGTTCCTTACCTGATTAAATGTTGCAATTTACAACAAGGTTCTGAATTGTTCCAAGTTTCTCAAAAAGGTAAAGCAAGACAGAGTCAGGTGAGTGAAGGAGAGCCATACAGCAGGTAGGAGAGTCCAAGATCAATAATCAGGTAAGGCAGGTGATTATGACTCTTCTTTCGGATCATATCTAATATCCTGCCCCCCCCACCTCTTGGCTGGGAGAAAGCCACACTACATGGTGTTCTCTTGGGGCTACTGATAAGTCCTCGATTTACGACCAGTTTGGGATCAGAATAATCGAGGTGGCGACTGAGTCACACCTAATTTTACAAACTTTTTGCCATGGTTGTTAAAGAAAATACCGCGGTCGATATGTGAATCGTGTGTGCGCGTGAAGTGAATCTTGCTTTCCCCGCTGGCTTTGCCTGAAGCCGACTGAGAGGGCCTCAAATGTCAATCACAGGACTCCTGGACATTGCAATTGTCATAAATATCAGCCAGTGGCCAAGTGTCCAAATATTGACCTTAGGGATGCTGCAAAATCTGAGGGCTCAGTCGTTTATTCCAGTACTGTTGTAACTTCAAATGGTCGCTAAACGGAAGGCTGTACGTCGAGGGCTACTTAAGAGAAGATGATTTGGCAGAAATGTGCAGCATCCGTAAATCCAACATCCAAAAACAGACGCTGCAAGAAACACTCACTATGGTTTGTTTCAATTCCCAAAGGCAAACCGATTCCGAGCTCTGGATTCAAAAGGTGGCACACAGCTGAAATACATCACTTTTTTTATCAGTGCGGAGAGTTTTCTAACAGTTTTATTAACTAGAGAAGCATAATGCATCTGTCATACAGCCATTACATTTGCAACTTCTACTTGAAATTCTCTATACAAAGTCAATGCAAATAGATAAGATCGTTGATGAGATAAACAGCTTAAAATAACCGAGAAGTATAAAAACAAGTTTGCCAGCTTGCCCTGAGTAGAAATTTTGAAAAATATAAAATCTGGATTTTCAGCGGTTACAACCATAAACATGATTTTAAGAAGTCTGAGATGGCATGCCAAGTTCAGTAAGCAGATTCACGCTATCCCAATTAATTGCTCAAGTGTATTTAAGAAGTTCTGTGCTGGTAAAAGTTAAAATCAGTTGGGAATGTAGAATAAATGCAGATGTTTCGCTACTGAATTTAGCAGAAATTTTATTGGTTTGCTTCACGTTGCATTTAAAATGGATACCAGCTCTGAAGCCCATCCCAGTTTTAGTGCATTTTTAAAATAATAGGCAATACATAAAAATTTTACATAAAAAACTCCTGATGAGACATGCCCCAGTGCCCAGGACAGCAGAGCATCTGAATCCTCCCTTTAGAATAATCAACATGATTTTGCTTATTTGGGCTGGACTCATGCAAGGACAAGTTGGGTGACTGCATAAGTGAGGGACACCGCCCCCCACCTTCCAGGCTCCCTGAAATGCATAGGATCGTTCAGCGTGAGCTCCCTGCTAATTCTGAGAAGAAGCTCGCGTGAATCAATGAGATGTCCAAGAAAAAGACGCAGCAGTGACGCCCGCCCGATCACCATTTACAAAATTTCTGGCTGGTGACAGCTTTCCACAAGTAGCCCACTGAAGGTCTGAAGGTGTGAACTATCTGGAGTTACAAGTTCAGCTTCTTTCTGCTGAGAGCAAGGTGGCAAAGACATTTTCTCTTTAAAACCTGGTTAAGAGATTAAGCAGAATGGAAGTAAAATATATCTTCCCCGTAATAAACAAAATGGTATTTTTTACAATCCACCCTCCTCGCTCCGTCGTGGCTCACAGCTGTGCGGTATCAGTCTAAGGGCTGGGGATCTGCGATCGGCATGGTGTGGAGAACTTCATCGAGCAGCTGGAGGGCGCGATGTAGATGGATTTCGATCCAGCATGGAGTCTCTTTGATGCTCTGGCGTGGGTAGTCGGGTCCCCATCCTTTCACAAAGCTCATCCTCAGGATGCACAAACGCCGAAGGTCGTCCACGCCGATTCCAGCAGCTGCCGACAAACCTAAGGCAGGGACAGGGAGGTTAAACATTCCCCCGAGCAACACCTTTTGTCAAAAGTCATGTGCTGGTATCAACCCAATTTTAGAAGGCGGCCTTTCTCCCCTCCATCCACTTTGGGTTTGCTCAGGTTGTCACTTAGAAACAGGAAGAAAACAGAGCTGATTGGCGTTTGGCAACTAATGAATTCAAATAAAGAAACAAGACCGCAACATTTTCAAGTATTTTGTTTAAAAATTATGTGTGCACACACGTACGTGTGTGTGTGTGTGTGTGTGTGTGTATGCTATATATCCCAGCATCAGAAAGAAAATGAAAGCCATTAGAATTGGGCTAGCGATACATTTAAATAAATAAAATCTTGAAATGTTCAAGCATCTTGTTAGGAAAAAAAAAATGTGAGCTACGTATCCCAGTAAAAGGTGGGCTGATTAAATATTAGCACGGGGTCTGACTTGACAAAAGAAGTTTATGATTGAAGGTCTGAGGTTGCTTTGCAAATCATGGTTTGGCTAATCGTAATTATAATTGAGTGAAGTTATACAGTAACCCTACAGTTAGGACTGTAATGGAGCCTACCCGTTACAACCGTTAAGTTGTGACAGTTGTAAAGCGGCGTCAGCCAATTTTACAACCATTTCTGTTGTGGTGAAATAAACCACTTTTACAAAAAAATGGTTATGTGACCACAGGATGCTGGAAATAGCCCTGAATGGGGTGCAGTTTGTGCAGTCTTGGGACCATGCACAAGGTGCTAGATGTGGGGGGCACAACCGTTAGAACTCTGGGTCACAAGCAGCCCCCAAGTAAACTCCAAACAGCCACTAAGCAACTGGTTCCAAGTCGAGAACTATCTGCACCTAGTTTGTTACACCTAAAGATAAGTGTGTGCTGAGCAAACGGAGAAAAAAACACAGATGAGCAGTTTTAAATCCTAACTTACGCATATACTTGGAAACTAAAATGTGGTTTGTATTTTAAGCTACCAGAAATGCATCATTCTTGACTTTGGGAATGCATGACGCACTTCTCTCAATTTTCCTTTTTCCACTGAAAGCAGTTCCAAATATATGGAGGGATGAAAGATTTCACGGAGCACTTACTGATCGCTGGAGCAATCCCTCCGACAGATCCCGGCCCAGGGATGTTTCCTGCCACGGCGGCAGCTTGAGCAGCGGCTGCGGCTTGCGCCGTGGCAGCCTGCTGTTGCATTTGGCGGTGACACTGGCGTAAGTCGAATACCTTAAAAAAAGAAGCAGCGTTATGGTAGAGAGGAAGCCACCTCGAAGAGCCCAACCAAACTGGGGGGGAAAGCAGCCCCAATACCTTAAAGGGTTTATCAGGGGGCAACCGCAGAACCCAGTACATGGGCTGCTGATCTCAGAGCTTAAATTAAACAATACTGATAAGTATATCTTTTGCTTTCGTGCTTTCTAGTCCCTTTTAAGACTGAAGTGTCTTTTTAGATTCATGAATTCTGGATATTCTGAGAAGGAACACAATGATTATGAATCAATCAGGAGCCATTCCAAAACCAACTGGGTGGGGGCAATCTGTTTGGAGTGGCAGCTATTTCTATGCTTCTGCTACCTGTCAAGCCAAGACTTGCAGCCGATGGAGGAACAGCTAGGAACATCTCCACCTGTTTATGCTGCTAAGAGTGAGATGCAAACCTGAGTGAATTGACCCAGAGCAAATGGAAGTAAAGGCAGTCCTCGGCTTACGACCAAAATTGAGCCCAAAATTTCTGTTGCTAAGTGAAACATTTGTTATGTGAATTTTGAGCCATGTTATGACCTTTCTTGCCAGGGTTGTTAAGTGGATCGCTGCAGTTGTTACATTAGTAACATGGTTGTAAAGTGAATCTAGCTCCCCCATGGACTTTGCTTGCCAGAAGGGTCCTTGGGCTATTTTAGCTGAAGAATGGCTTTAAGGTCACCTTCCATTCCCTACATCCGTTCTTCTACCCCACTTGCAAGCTGCAATATTTGGCACCTGAAGAATTCAGATTTATGCGATTATGAAGAACGTTTAGCCCAACTACAACTACATAGCGTGGGACCATAAGCTGCAGACTTGTAACTTCAGGTTAAAAAAGCAACATGGAGAAGAACAAAACTTTGTGAAGAATTAGGGATTAGCACTGCCAGTCCAGAACTGGACGAGTAAAATTATTCCTGTTATTACAACTTCAAAATGCAGTATTATTTTGTTAACAAACCTTGATATAGGCACTAGGATAAATTTTGTGAACCGCATCGCCCGGGGCCCGTCCTGCTTCTCGGTCTAAGTAGTAACTCTGAACGAACACCGCGTGATCACTGAGGCACCGAACCCAGACATCGCCTTCCCCTTTACACTCTAATTGTACACCTTTACCTATGTGCAACCTGATAGGAGAGAGAAAAAAAAACACAAAGACGCCAAGATTTAATAAAATGGGAAAAACTGAACCATCGACAAATCAGCTTTATTTGGTTTCAACTTCAGTTGCTCTTAAACATTTGTGCAAACACTCTGAAGACTGAGTCATAAGAAGCAAGGCCGGCCTTTCTCCTAAATACAACAAGATGGCGTAGATATATCTAGTGATACCCCATTGAAATCAAGGCTTGAGTTTATGCAATGAGTTCAAAATCTGAGTGCCTCTTATAGCTACCCCTTGGTTGAGAATATTGACAGTTGCGGTGCAATGCAGGGGTGTCAAACTTGATTTCATTGAGGGCTGCATCAGGGTTGTGCTTGACCTTGGGGAGGGAAGGGCTGGGAGGGGCGTGGCCAGCTCGATGTCACTCCTGTCGGGGGCACCTGTGGCAGCCGTAGACCTCTGTCAGCAAAAATGGGCTCCCAAGCTCAGTTTTCAGCTGCAATGGCCTTCTGAAACCCTCTGCCAGCAGAAACGGAGCTAGGGACGGCCGCATGCAGCCACCCTAAGCTCCGTTTTTGCTGGCAGAGGCACTGTGGACTGGTCCTTTACTGTTTCCAGGGTGGCCCCACAGGCCAGATCTAAGCACCCCATGGGCTGGATCCCCATGGGCTGGAGTTTGACGCCCCTGGTCCAATGGATCTGCCACACGTCAATTTGGTCAGTTTGGATCTGCCACAAGTCAGTTTAGAAAAACAGATTAACATTTTAAAAAAACCAAACAAACGTATATTTGCACTTCCAAGGAGTTATGACCCAAAGTCCTGCTGGCAAGGCGGCTCAACTCTATGACATTCTAACCAAGGAGTAAGCAAATACTCAAGAGACCTTGAACAGCCTCACCTCTCAAGTGATTTCTTAAGAGCACCCAGAGACTGAAGATAAGAGTGAGGCCACTTCAGCAGCGAGAGAAGTGGTGGAAATGTGTTTTGAGTTGTATTTTTTTTTTTTTTAAGGAATGACTTTCGAGACTGAGTGAACTCAAAACACATTCAACTACAGGAAGCCAATTGCTAGTTTATGTTCAGGGCAAGAGGCCAGGATCAAAAAAAGATGAATCAGAAACTTACTACCAAGTGTATCTTTACCGATGGACTTAGATAAAACATCCATAGGCCTCAGCCTGGCCTCTCTGTTCTGCATTTCAAGATTGACTGCTATGTACAGGCACCAATTCCTTTGAAAGGACCTACAGGTAGTCCCCGACTTACAACAGTTCGCTTAAGTGACTGTTTGAAGTTACAACAGCACGGGAAAAAGTGACTTATGACCATTTTTCACCACTGTAGCATCCCCACGATCACGTGATTAAAATTCAGATACTTGGCAACTGACTCATATTTATGACGGTGACAGTGTCCCGGGATGACGTGATCGATCCCCTTTTGCGACCTTCTGGCAAGTCAATGGGGAAGCCAGATTCACTTAACAACCAGGTTACTAACTTATCAGCTGCAATGATTCACTTAACAAGGGTGGCAAAACAGACTTGCACTGGGACAAAACTTGCTTAACAACTATCTTGCTTAGTATTGGAAATTTTGGGGGCCATTGTGGCTGTAAGTCAAGGACTATCTGTATGTCTGATTTACTTCTAGCAATGTATCACACTTGCAACAGACAACTCGTACATGCAAGCGATCAGCTGGATGGTGAAGAGACCAAGGCTAACCATGCCTGAGCCAGGCAAGTCTCAGTAGAAAAACAGGACAATAATTTATTTTATAACAAGATTATGTAATGAAAGCCTTTCCACTTATTGTGATTTTCATAAACCTGTTTGAGTCACAGTTGAACATCATAAGTACTCACTTAACAGAGTCAAGATATATCAAATGCATCCAACAGGATTTTAAATAAACAGCGAAATCAAGTTCTGTGGAATTATTAAATTATTGCAGAGAAAGGAGCACAATGGAAAGAATGCTGATTAAAGAGAAAAACAAATCCATTTCCTCCATCGCTGTTCTGGCATGTCACCAGAATTCAACATTTGTGCAATTCGTTAATTAAAAGCACCACTTCAGGCTCTCTAACCGCTGGAAATTTTAATTACACAAAAAGGGATCTCTCCGAATAGATATAACTCAACATGTAACATATGATACCCAGGCACTGATTCATATCCCTATAACTTATGATGTGATGGCTGTAGAATACAAATTAGAAGTGTCTGTGTGAATCTTACTCCATTTCTTAATCTAATTACTTCCTTGGCATGTTTCCTAGCACTCGGATCTGTGATTCTGAAGCGCCAGATATCAATCTCTCTGTTCTTTAAGAAGTAGGGGAGAGGTTTTGCTGGGAGGTTCCCTTACACAAGTGTCTTAAGCAGACCTTGCCCTACTGGCCAGCCTGCACCACCGCTGACCTTTGCCATCTTCTTCCTCCCACTGCGGGCAAGGCATTGTGAAGGGCCAGGCTGGGCACAGCTCAGGAGGAGGAGGAGGAAAATGCCAATGGAAAAGAGGGAGGGGCAGAATGAAAGGGCAGCAGCGTGGAGCGGGGCACTACAATGGCAGTAACTTCCTGGCCTGGTTGTAAGTATCATTCATTTGGCACTGTCGTTAACTTTGAAACACTTAACTAGTTGTCATTAAGCAAGGACTATCTGTACACCTAAACAGGACACGCTTTCAAAGCTTAACCCACAAGCACCCCAAAACAAAGGACAAATCAAGTGGCTTCCTTTTCCAGACCCACAAAACCTACCTGGCTCTCTCAATGGCTTCTGTTCTATGTACATTGGAAAGCTGACCGAGGCAAAAGCGATCCCCGCCGGAAGGGTCCACATATCCATCCACAGTAACAACTGGGCAGCTTGAAGGGACTTTGAATGTCTCCCCCACTTGAACGTCCATCTCAAAATAGGCAATTGAACACCAGTATTCTGGAGCTGAAGGGGGAGGAGAGGCGGGGGGGGAGGGGTGGGGGGAGAAGTGAGGCTTCATTTAAAAAAAGATCAGCGCTTACAAGAACTGGAAGCGTTAATGAGCGCAGAAAAAAATGCTTTCTAGACCAGATCTGTGTCACAGGTTTGAAGAGTCTCCTGATTGCTTTTTAAAAAAATATCTCCATCAATCACGATGGTTTTTTAAAGAGCCATGCTGCTGAACACGGATGGAAGGTCCTGGATGGGGGTGGATTTGGGGTGGCGATGCAGGAGTGTGCAAGTGAAGGAGCATGCAAGGGGGGAGGAGTGCAAAGTGTAGGAAATGGCCTGTTTGCCCTTTGCTCCTAAAGTGCATGCCCTTGGAACACCTCTCTCCCACAGCAGTTTGGCTTTTTTTTTAGCGCTCCATTGGAACTTTTTTTGTTAAAGGCCCTTGGGCTGCACCCGTGGGGGAAGGGGTGCAACCGAGACAAGAAACACGTCAGGAAACCACAGATCGTGATTGGCTAGCGGACCAGAGGATCCCCACTCCTTAATATGTGAGTATTATACAGGTGGGTTGATAAAATGGGCACAATGGGTTTTAAAGAGGGCACAAGGTACCCGTTTAATTCTGTAATGTGGAATAAGCATTTAACTGAATGTTCATTAAATGAAATGCACCTACCAGGATGATTTGATATCGGAGGTTGGAATGCAAGTTCATTATGAACCGGCCCTTTAAAAAAAAAACAATTAAAAAGTCATACTTTTTACCCACACTGTCCCTTGCAGGTTTTCCCCTCTCTAAAAGACTATTTCCTTTCCAAATCTAATAAATGTAAATAACAGAACTGGATATAAAACAGAGAATATGTTTTGTTTTAAAAGCCAAACTTACACACAATTGTTCACGAGTTGCACCCAAAAATAGACTGGGGCTCCCTACAACCAAAACCTGAAACCCTTTGGTTGTCCTGACTTGACATTAAACAAATCTAGAACAAGGGTGTCTTTCTGGACTTCAAGCAAGGCTGGCTCGGGAATTCTGGGAATTGAAGTCCACCGCCCTGATCCAGAGGGTCTCTTGGAGCAAGCAGGGAAACGCTGGGGAACCCTTCCCACTCTTCTCCATGACTGGTGTGCTGGTTTATCTACATTCTCACCACCTCTCTTTGGTGACTTCCAGGTGCTATTTAGCTCCTGCCCAATTCCCTGGCTTCAAGTGGCTGCCTGACCCCCACCCTGACCTTCTCGGGATTCCTTTACCTACCACCTGTTAGTCACTGATATCCATTATCTCAACCCCATCATCTTCCCTGTAGCTTTCTTTTCCTATTTTCGCCTAGTTATTTTCAAGCTCTTTTTAAGCTCCGCACACCTAATGTGTCCATCACCCCATTTTTATACCACCTTTTTTTCCTCTTAGTAACTGATAGTGTCTTTGGATTTTTCCAGCTGTCTGCCCAAAAACATTTCATCCAAAATGTTCTGGTATACATTTGGACCAAACTTCCCTGATTTCTGGCCTGGATTGAGAAAGGAAACTAACTCTCTTGGGCATAGAACATTTTCAGATTCATAGCAAACCAGCAACATAGGAGAAACTAGGATGAGGTCTGTGTGTTTATATCTATAGTACGTATTTTAGAAATAAGCTCAAAAATATTTACAGACCAGGACGGTTCAACTTTTACAACAGTTCATTTAGTGACCGTTTGAAGTTATAATGGCACTGAAAAAAGTGACATGATCGTTTTTCACACTAGTTACTGTTGTAGCATCCCCATGGGCACATGATTTACATTCGGATGCTTGGCAACTAACTCACATTTATGACGGTTGTAGTGTCCCAGGGTCCCTTTTGCGAACTTCTGACAAGCAAAGTCAATGGGGAAATCAGATTCACTTAACAACCATGTTACTAACATAACTGCAGATTCACTTAACAAACATGGCAAGTGGAACACAACTCACTTTACAAATGGCTCACTTAGCAACATAAATTTGGGGCTCAATTGTGGTCGTAAGCTGAAGACTACCTGTATCCTAATCAAAACATTAGGCCATTTTATAAAAGTTCTGTTAAAAACTCTTTATATAGGTTCTACATATTCCCAAGCAGAAGAATATGGGATTGAAGGGATTGAATTGTGGGAGCTGAAGAATTCTACTTGAAGAGTTTTAGAATGATACAAAAGACAGGGGCATTTTCTTCTTTTTTTTAAAAAAAGTTCACATTTATATCCCAACTGACTTTGTCTAAAAAGTTCCAAGTGCCTTTTGCCAAGTGACTCTATTTGTACCCCATGTATAAAAGGCAGTAGCTGAATTCATATGTCATGAATTAGCTATACTTTTTTCTTTTTTGAGTAAGCCACAAATGGAGTAATTCACAGTTAAGTCCTAACCCAAACCACATTATGAACTCAGCATGATACATTACCCAGCCACTAACTCGCCTGAGATAAGTTACAAAGCTTCGTTGATGACCAAATATTTCTTCATTTATTTTCAGTTCAGCGCTATGTCTTGCTGTCTCTCGGGAAATCATGATTTCATTACACCAATTAAGCCATGCATACAATAACACGTGCATGCTTACAGTAATGTCCAGGGTGAGGCATAGGTGGATGGTGTTGAAGGTGTCCATTTTGATGGTGGGGGATAGTAGGTGTGTAGGCTGCAGTACGGCTACCAGTCCAAGTTGTTGTACTGTCTACAAAAGACACAGAAAATATGCCTTTATTTCCCATCTCTTTTCAAGGAAAAGAATGCAAACTAAACTAAACCCTGGAATGGAATGGAATGGAATGGAATGTAAACAGTTCACTTACTGTGGTGGTAAGTAGCTGGCTGAGCTGTAAAACCATTCTGCTGTGCCCCTGGCTGAGGCCCTGAAGGAATCTGTAAGAGTCCATCACTGTGGCTACCTGCCAACATACTGGTTGGTTGGCCTGGCAAAATGTAAAACAGTTCATGATTGCTTTAAAAAAATGAATGACTACTCTGTTAGAAGCCTGAGGTTTCTGCCGTTAATATGATTACAGTAATAAAACCACCAATAACACACCTTTCAACATATTAATATAGCTGCTTAATTCTAAGTAATAAATGCAAATGAGATAATATGATGCAAGGACAAAAGAACGATGCGCTCTACCAAAAAGGTAGGACAGAGGCCACCAGCACAATCCTCCTGTATTACGCACTGTAGTGCTTATTTGGCATCCAAAGTAAGACCTTGATGGCTCCCTTTCTGTTTGGTCTACTTGGGCCTGGGGCTAAAGGCATAAAAAGCAGTGCTTGGCACTGGGGTCCTTATTAAACTTGTAGAAGCCTGGAGTTATTTTCTTGATCTAAGGTGGGGGGGGGGATCAAACTCATGTCGTCATGGCAGCATCACGTGACGTATCACAACTTTTTTCCTCTTCGCTAAACCGGGCATGGGCGTGGCCATCCCATGACGTCCCTGGCCTGATCTAAGGAGTCTTTCAGAATTATGCAAAGTAGGAGACACTGTAAAAACTTTTTTAAAGGATGAAAAAAATACACTATTTATCTAACTATTATCCATCTCCCTAAACACTGGTCTATTTTCTAATTTTTCTTTCTTAACGTAATGTACAGATTTCAACAGTCCTCTTTCTGGCACTGAGAACTAAACATATTTTCTAATTTGCACCCAATGAGAGATACAGTAAACATGTGTATGAATATCCATCCTCCTCTCTACCCCATGCTATGTTTTATATAATGAAGAACTATAAGCTGCCGAGACACCGCAGACAGAAACAGCACATAAATGAAATAAATAAGCAATAAATAAAAATGAATGAATGAAGAAATAAATCAGGAATACAGTTCTAACTCTGTAAAAGGAATCCACTAACAATTATTACTTTTACCATTAAGTTAGCAGTAATTTATTTATTGATTTGTTAAATTTATTAGCTGCCAATCTCACTGTGGGTGCTACTCTAGGCGGCTTACAATAATAAAAAGGAAAATGGAGAGGCGTGTAAAGTAAAATAGCAGAATAAACAATGACAAAGGAACACAACGAGAATCAGCACATCAATCTAACCAAATTATGATTATATTTAATTACATATAATTATAAATTTATATGATTGTAATTATTATATAAAATATAATTATCAAACAGGATTCCACAGTTTCTCTATTCATTTAGCAATCCATTTAGATTAATGGCCTGATTAACCACAGCCGGTTTCTAAAACGAAGTGGGATGGACAACATGCATTTTCAAATGCTGGTCATCATTATCTTACTTGTGGAAGGAACAGGAATGTTGGGGAAGTTGGTAGTGCTGGCAGAACTAGGCTCAGAAGGCGCTAACATAGCTGGAGTACTATAGGATTCAGTGGGTGCTCTGTTACTCGGGGGATGTTGAATCGTCTGAACTGAGTGGCCTTCAGCGGATGACAGTGACGGCTGCCCTTCAAATTCATGTACATACTCATCTTTTACTAACATGCTGGCAGGTGCTGTGATAAAAGACAAGTTTAAAAGATTAAGGAGAAAAATATACAAGCAACTGCAGTAAACACATGGAAGGAAGAAAAGCCATTTTCACTTGAAGCCACAGATACAGAAGGGTTACTGTAAGTGACAAAAGAAGCAGAGATAGGAACAAATGAATTTGGGAGAGCTTTCTAATAAAAAGAGCAGGCTGATCCCAACAAGTGAGTGAAATAATCATACACCTGAGATATTCAGAAAAAAATGAAGAATGCTGTCAGGATACACAATTAAACCTAAGAAGCTTAAAAGTTCCAAGTGATAATGATATCCTTTTTGAAAGAAAAAAAAATCATTATTACTTTTTTATGAATATTAAAGTCCACTGAAATGAACCAAAACAATCCTCCTCTCATCCATGCTCTTGGGTTTATGTCAAGAATCTCTAGCATCTCCCTGGAATTCTTGGACATTTAAATTATTCTGGACCCTACAGATTATATTTGACAACTATTTATTTACAACTAACTTTATCTTGCCCAATGTATAGAAAAACAATAGTATGTAAATCGGAACAAGGTCAAAAAGATAATCACAAAAAAACAAAGAATACTTATCCCCACCCAAGAGAGATGCCCACGATATCAAAATGATAGAAAGAAGTCCCACGGTTTCTGTAAGAACTGCGGACAATTAGCCAATCATTGGCAAGACGACAAAAGCAACCTGTGAAGGGCACAGAACTGCTGCCCTATTGTTGCTACAGATACATGTTGAAATTCAACACTCGATGAGCAGGAATGGACTTTCTCCTCTTCCTCCCCCAAGGAGATTTTGAGGGTGCATGGGAGAAACTGAAAGCTCTTATATATCAGCAGAAATCGATTCCATTAGCAGTCATAGCCAACTGACTCTTAGGCATATAAACCTAGAGCCAGCATCCTTCCCACACAAACCTATTATGAAAAAAAGAAAGCCATTTAGCATAGAGGGGACTTTTTTCAATGTAATCAATGGGAATGGATTTAATTCTGGTCTGAGGACAAAATAAAACCCAGTTGGGATTTTATCCCAGTTTGGAAATATAATAAAACCAAAATCAATATCTGTATGTACAAGAAACTGCACGTAGAAAGCAGCTAAGATCAATTAACTAGCCAAGTAAATCACAGTAGGATGGATCAGACTTATTCAATGGATTTATTCCAGGTTTAAGTGTATATAACCCAATGCATTAGTGGACACCCAGAAATTAGAAATTTATGAGTTCAGATACATGCAATATCTCATTTACATTGCTAAACTACTTCTTTTAGTTCTTGAAAAGGAGTCTTTTTATTAACTGTTCATCAGGTGGCAATGTTTTTCACATAAAATGAGTAACTATTTAAAGGTCTCCCACAATAATTGGCATTTTTCTTTATTCCTTTAAGAACACAAACAAGAATAACAATAGTAACACCACATTTTCTCTTTCTCTGCATTCATATAATGACAGAACATTTCCTTGTGACTCATATAATTGCATAATACAGAATTCACTATTCTTTCTAATGCAGAAAAGTAGTTTTCCCAATGTTTATGTAGGTTTAAATTTAAGATTCCATGTTGTTTATAATACATAAACGTTTATGTATAGCTTACCAGAACTTTGCAGAGTCAATCCGGAAAGATCTTTAAAGAGGAGAATATAAACAATAATTAGACCAGTTTTAAATACCAGTAAATAAACATTTTTATCATGCAAACAATAAATGAATAGAAATATGTAGATGTGTGTGAAAGGACAGGCTGCCTGCAAAATGACTAGCACCTGGACTCTTGGTACCCTGTCTCTTTAAGACCTCTCCCTAGCCAATGAGCTGAGTTGAGAGGCAGCTGGGTATGTTGGAGTTGTGGTATTGGAGTGAGTGTGAAGGTGGTTTGTGTTTATTTGTGAAACTAAAACCGCCCGAAGCAGCTTAAAGCAGTAGAAGAGTTACTGTTCTCCAGAAATAGGGCTTGCAAAGGAAAGTGGTAGAAGAATGGGAGTTGCAGTAGAATCTGGGAAAAGAGGTATAGTAAATAGTGAGTCCTTTGGGTGTGCTAAGCTTCCTATAGGCCAGGTTTGGGAGGGGGCGGTTCTATTGGCTTTCTAGGGTTCTGGAGCACACTAACCTGTATTTATGTAAAAGGATCTGTGACAATACAATTTTTGTAAAGCCCCGAAGTCCTGGTTGTTTCGTGGAGTGTTTCAGTGAGGAGATTAGGTGATCTCTGTTGCTACTGATTGTGTGTGTTTTTTGTGACTAAGGTTACTGCATTATCTGTGTGGGTGTTCTATGCTTTATTTCTTGTTTTGATCCCTATATGCCACCTAGTCACTATTTTGAGACAGGTGGCCATTTAAATAAATATGCCTATAAAGTACTATTAAATTATGTTCTTAAATTCTGTACTTGACAAATGTTTATATCAAACTGGAAGCTGTCTTTCTATCCTATCATTTCTGGAATATAATTCCATAATAATATTTAAGAAATGCAATATTTCTTTCTTGTTCAATCACAATACCTTTTTTAAAACAACAAGCTTTCAGAGATGGACCAATTAATTCTTCCTTTCCATAAAGGCAAAGATTTATTGACAGACTTTTTTCTAATCCATCTTTAAAGAATGATTAAAGATCCATCCACCACATTCAAAATAATGTCCATGAGACAAAACAGTTTTCAAGAGTCTTCCACAAAGTACCATGAAATCTGTGAGCAAAATCTGAGTTAATTGTAATTCTACCTTGAACTGAGCTCATTCCTGAAACTATATGGGCCAGTATGTGGCTTTCTTAGTATTAACACTGAACTATTTTGCCACAGTTTTTTTTTCCAGAATGTGTTTTGATTTCTCAAATCAAGGGTTTCTTCAATCTAAGTATTCTTCAGGTCCAATCTTGTTTCTAGTTTTTCCAATATCAACAAGGCTATTTAGCCTAAAGGCTGCAAAACACGGCTCAATTGTCACAAAACCTGCCTTGACCACTAACACAGTAGGATGCAACATTAAAACCCACAACTATGAAACAAAAAGTCTCTTGAATGCTGCAAGGCAAAGATAAGGCAGGGTAAGCAAGAATTCAAAATCACTGGAGGATCCAAGGCCAGAAGGAAATCAAGTGTCCCTGTCTATATGGAGCTTTGGGAAAATATTTCTTCCAGAAGAAATAGAGAAAATTGCCTAATTCCTCCTAATTTGCTGGCAGGAAAGAATCTGGAATATTTTACTGACAGAGATGCTGTTCTCTCCCTCATATCTCTAAGGAGTTTTAAGTTGAAAGGAAAACAAATAAACAAAAGCTGCTGGAATGATTAACATTGCACTTAAACATTGCAACCTTGTTTCCCCGTTGTCAGTGTTCCTGGTACATCTTCCCTACAACCGAAGAGAATAGGGGGAAAAAATACAATGATGAAAAGTCCCTTGGCCAACCTCGGGAATCTTTTCTAGCAGTCTGAAAATCTATTGCCTTCTTAAATTTACATTCAACAATTCATGTGGATTTATGAACAAACTTACCAATGCCAGGTGACACAACACGCTCATAATGATATGGATTCACGCAGACACTGTCACATTTCAAGTCAAATGCATACTGGCAATATTTGACATGTTTGAGTTCATTTTTGTGAAGATCAGGCCACCTCCACAACCGTGCATAAATTACATGCGGAAAGCCCTTTCGACCAGCCACCTAAAAAGATTGAAAATCATGGAAAAAATTCACTGGAAAATCAAACCAAAATCACCTAATAAATGAAGGAAATATTTTATACTCTACTGAACGCTACAGAAAAAAAAAAAGAAACATCTGTAAGCGCCATTTCCACAGGGTTATAGGCATGCATGACGATTTCCCATTCCTCTACACCTCTTTGCCACTATGTAAAATAAAGAACATAATGGCACCAGATATGCTTCTACTAACCTGAAGCCTTCCATCCAGTGTTCTCTGAATTGTAACACATTTGCTAGGATGAGCTCCATTTGTGGTTATGGCTGTAATCAAGGAATCCAGTTCATCTTTTTTCTCCTTGAGTTTTTTAACTAAGCTTTCAATAGCCCTCTTTGCAAATGTTTCACTCTCCCCTCCTTGTCGATGGCACATCAAACTGTGAACAATGCTCAGGCAAGCATCATTACTGGTTGGCGTGTTGGTAATAGACATACTGTCCATTGGTACAGTCCTCCCGTCAAGACCAAAGCTCTCTGCCAACCAGTGGGCCAGAGACTACGTCTAGGGGAAGCCTAAAAGAAAAGAAATGACCAAATATTACAAGAGCAGCCACTAGAGGTTTTCTGTTGGTCCCAGGGCCATATTTCTCTCTGTTACCACAGTAATATTTAAATTGATTAAAATGAATTGGATAGAGAAGTAGTCTAACTCAAACATACTTCTTTCCCACAAACATCAAGGTTGGAGGGTTGTGGGTTTTTTTTTTTAAATCAAATATGCCGTGTTTCCCTTTCCAATTTTCTCAAAGAGCATAGATTGGAATTGAATCTTGCTAACCTTGCAGCTCCAATACAGGCAGTCTTCAACTTATGAACACAATGGAGCCCAAAATTTATGTTGTTAAGTGAGAAATTTGTTAAATGAGGTTTGCCCCATTTTACAACTTTACTAGCCACATTTGTTAAGTGAATGACTGAAGTTGCTAAATTAGTAATACTGTTAAGTGAATCTGGCTTCCCTATCGTCAGGAGGTTGCAAAAGAGGATCAAATCACCCCAGGAGACTGGAACTGTCATAAATATGAACCAGTTAGTTGTCAAGCATCCAAATGTAAATCTCGTGACCATAGGGAGGTTGCATTGGTCACAATTGTGAAAAATGGTCATGTCACTTTTTTCAGTGCTGTTGTAACTTCAAACAGTCACTAAATAAACTGGTGTAAGTCAGGGATTACTCTAAATTGCATCTCTGAGCACAGACTTGAAAGCAAATTATGTTTTACCCATTTGTCTATAGTAAGAGAAAGGGTAAACTCCCATTTGCTTCCATAAAGGTGTAAACCCTTCCCCCCTTCCCAAATTCAACCAGCCAGATCAGGACTGACGGATGATTCTTGGTCATGGCATCAACCTCTTCACCTAGAACTGAGTTCTCCAAACTGTGAGAGGTGCCTCCTTTGGGGTTAAAAGGGGGGGGGGGGGTACAAACTGGGTCCAAGAGAAGCTTGAAGAGTATTTTAGGTGTATATTGCTACAATAAATCTGCCTTTCCCAAAGTTTCATTGCATTGTTTTTATTGTTCATTTTGGAGTTCGGCATTTTAGGGCAAGTGTGTATAGGCAGTCCTTGACTTACAACAGTTCATTTAGTGACCATCTGAAGTTATAACGGCACTTTAAAAAGTGATTTATGAACATTTTTCACACTTACGACCTGTGTAGCATTCCCCACGCCCCATAGTCACGTGATTTACATTTACATGCTTAACAGCTGACACATACTTATGGCGGTTGCAGTGTCCCGCAGTCATATGATCCCTTTTTGCGACCTTCTGACAAACCAAGTCAGTGGGGAAACCAGACTCACTTAACAAATGTGGCAAGAAAAGTTGTAAAATGGGCAAAACTTACCTGTCATCAGAAATTTTGGGCTTAATTGTGGTCATAAATTGAGGACTACTTGTACAACAAGATTACAGTAAAGGGAGGTGGGATGGCAAAACAGTTAGGAAACCTAGAAACAAATGCAACGCTTAGGAACATGTGGGAGGACAAGATAGACAAGTCCAGGTTTGCGTAGGGAAGACAACAAGGATTATTTATCACTTTAAAATCCGAAGACCAAAATGGGGAGGGGGAGAGGAGAAAATTTGTCTGGACCTGCCCAACAGGTTCTTCTCAGTTCCACTTATTGTTTAAAAAAAAAAAGTTTCTTAAAAGGAAGCAGACGTGAGACATCAAAGGGGAAGGGAGATCTCCTGGAAAAAAGAACATCTGGGAAAGGGAGAAAGATTAGTAGAAAAGTATAAGCAAAATGGAGATTGTAAACAGCCATATGGTGAGTTAAGTTTCCAGAAGAAGTAGAGGGCTAAGCAAAACGTAGGAGGAACAGTGGTAGGACTGAAGGTGAACTTCTCTGGGGCCAGAAGTGAAGGAGGGTGCGTGACTTAAGAGTCAAGAAAATAGTCATTGGGCAGAAAATGATGACTGTTTGATGTGTGGAGGCTCCAGGTGGACAGGGCATCTGGGAATAACACAGCTAATGCAAGAGAAGATGACATATTCTGAACCAGAAATCTCTAGGGCAGTGGTGGCTAACCTTTTTGGGCTCCTGCGCCAAAAATTTGTCCATGCGCTTGCACGCACGCGCTTGCATGCCAGCACCCAGAAGGCAATGCATCCCCCATGCCCCGCCGCCCCCTTACCTGCACTGTGCCTCACAGCTGATTTTCGGCCGGCTTAAGGCCTTTTTCAGCCTCCCAAAGGCTTGAGGAAGGCATCTGCAAGCTTTGTAGGCCGAAGGCTAGCCCCGTTTCGTCATTTTCTGTTTTTCTGAAAATACCAGAAGTGACAAAACGGGGCTAGTTTTCGGCCTACAAAGCTTGCTGAAGCCTGCAGAAGCTTTCCTCAAGCCTTTGGGAGGCCAAAAAAGGCCTCAAACGGGCCAAAAATCAGCTGTGAGGTGCACACATGCGCAGTGAGGTAAGTTTGCCAGCAGCTTGCGTGCCGGCACAAATGGCTCTGCATGCCACCTGTGGCACGAGTGCCATAAGTTTGCCATCATGGCTCTAGGCCCAGGGAGTCCACAGGAGCTAACAGGAAGTGCTCTTAAAAGTTTTGAACCAAAGTTGCAATTTATAAAAGCAATAATTAGTCAGGATCACCTGGCTGGAGAAGCAAAATTTATCAGACATAATGTAATAGATTATTCTATTTTCAAGAGTGTGGTTTTGCTCTATGGATCCTGGTATTTGGAAATTGTTCTCTCCTTCAAAGAATCTGTCTCTGGCTTTTATTTTGGAAATGTATTGGCCAACTCAATTCTTGCTTATTTGATACAATCTTAATCTACGTAAGTCCAGATCCCATTTACAAGATCTGGGTCCAATCTCCACACAACTCTATGGGAGACTATTGAGATGTTGCTTGGTTTTTTTAAAAATCAATATTGAAAGCTTTATTGCATCCCACTGCAATTGTTGGAGCATTTGGCTGGCAAGCTAAAATAAAGATTTACATTTTTCTTATCTGCAGTTACATTCATTATTAAATGTAACACGGAGGTTTCTGTGTTCATCATCTCAAAAGAAGATAAGGTTTCTGTTCTCTGGTTTGATACCTCAAAGCTACTACTGTAGAACCAGAAAGCGTGGCTTCAGTTTGCTTTTCACTATTGTTACTACCATTATTATATGCAGTTTATAACTAAGTTGGACATGCTGTGAGAGTCCTATCACTCTTCCAAATCAGTATTAAGAAGGCTGGTCGGTGTTTCCATTCTCCAGAAAGGTGATGACAGCAGAAGTACAAACTCAACTGTCTTGTCTTTCTTTTCTTCCTTCCAGGTTTTTTTTTCTCGTTTTTTTGTTCCCTCTCGCTCCCTCTCTCCTTCCCCCTCGACATATAGGGACTTTTTCCCTCTTTGTTAAACCGGGTGTGGGCATGGCCGGTGGTGTAGTTAGAAGAGACAGGGACATCCAGCAAAGTTGCACCTCTCTTTAGGTTATTCACTTTATGTGCCTCACTTCTCCTCAAGAACAGCCTTCCTGGAAGTACCACAAGATAGTTGCTACCATCCTCATCCTATTTATATGCTGCCTTCCAAAAATACAACAATCCAGTCCTCCATGACAAAATAAAGCACTCCAGAGACAGAATAAAAATGGAACTGAGGGTTCTGAACAATTTAGCTGAATCCCACAATCGTACAACAGAAATTCAGCAACATACCACAGGTAGTCCTCAAATTACGGAAGTTTACTTAGTGACCACTCAAATTACAACAGCACTGAAAAGTGACTTATGAAACATTTTTCTCACTTATAACCATTACAGCACCCTCATGGTCATGTGATTTACATTCGGATGCTTGACAACTGGTTCATATTTATGACAGTTGGAGGGTCCCAGGATCATGTGATCTTCTTTTGCAACGTTCTGACCAGCAAAGTCAAGGGGGAATCCAGATTCACTTAACAACCGTGTTACTAATTTAACATCAGCAGTGATTCACTTAACAAATGTGGCAAGAAAAGTCGTTAAATGGGACAAAACTCACTTAACAAATTTCTCCCTTAGCGACATAAATTCTGGGATCAACTGTGATCGTAAGTCAAGGACTACCTGTACTAACTCTAGACCAGCCAAAATGCTGGAAAGATAAAATGTATTTACCAATTGGTTTACCAGTCAACCAAGCGAAGAACATTTTATCATACATGAACATATCTTGGACCTCAGAGCACTGCTGTGCTAAAATAACAAATAAAACTGTGGAATTGGACTGCAGTCTTTTATCTACTGTTCACCTGAATAATTAAGAGCACAGCTGCTCTAGAAAAAAAATTCTATTGCTCTGAAATGTCTCCTGTCTTTCCACAACCACCAAAGCCGTACTCTGATGATGATCCTTTGCTCTCTTTAGCAAGGGAGAGTACACATTTTTAGGTACCAAAGCTCTGGGAGCGGGTGCAAATGAACTGTTCCTCTGAATTTATACAAGCATACATAACACAAAGTCAAGTGCATTAAATTTACTTTAAGGGACTTCTTAAAATTTAAACCTTGAAAAAACATATCTGAGAAAAGAAGCAGGTCATATATTTTCCACTAATAATGAGTACCGTAGAAAGCAGCAATTGAATGATAGATGCAACAGTAGGCAAGCAAGGAAAGGCAGGTATCAAACTAAGATAAAACTGGAAACACAGGGTTAAATTATGAAATCTGACTTTAAATTCCAAACAAACAAACAAGGCAAAAATCTGTTTCCAAGCATGCAGTGAAAGTAGCACCTCTCTGCAATACTTGAAAATAGCCACACCTTTTTTTGGCATCATGCAGCTGTTGTGCAATCATAAAAAGGGAGTTATAGATAGGCACTATAGTTGCAATCCCATGTACTCTAAAACACACTTCTGTCCTTCAGTTTAAAGCACTGCATAATTTTATTTTATTTTTCAAAACTTATACATAAAACATGCTTATATAAAACTATGTAGCAGTAATTAAAAGGGCACAAGAGAGGTAAACCAACCTCCAGCACACTGAACCTATTTTTTAAAACCTGTTTCA